TTGCCCCTATCCAAAGAAAGAAATATAAAGCCAAATCACTTCACCCAGTTGACGATGATGGGGAGGCAAGATCCTCACAGGTGGCTGCTCCAGAGCCAGAAATCATCACTGAGTCTTTATCGTATAATAACCTCCGGAATTTACAGACAGACATTGCTCATCGTCCGAGTGAGCCCGTTCTGACCTGGATGATCCGAGTTTGGGACTCTACAGGTGATGCAGTAAATCTTGATGGCAGTGAAGCGAGGTTCCTGAGATCTATTGCCCAAGACGTGGGTATTGAGGAGGTGTTTGTGAGGGAATCGAAGCCCCTGTCTCTCTGGGCACGGCTTTTGGACGGTGTGAGGGAGAGGTTCATTTACAGAGATTCCTTGCAGGCAGATCATTACACCAAGAGCTGGAAGACCATAGAAGAAGGAATCCTACGGCTGAGAGAAATGGCATCGCTGGAAGTATTGTTTGGAGGGGATGGGCAACCTACCAACGATCCTGACAAAGTTAAGTGTACACCACAGATGTGGTGGAGCTTCACACGTATGGGGCCATCCACACACAAAGGTTACCTGACATCATTGGAGGCTGGGGAGAAGCGGGAGCCAGTGATGTCTGTAATAAATAAACTTCGGTTGTACAACAGTATGATCGAAGGACCACTACAGGCCTGCGTCTCCACTGTAGAGACATTGATTAATGAGCTCAAGGAATTAACTACAGGGTTGAAAGAGAGGATTGAGGGAAACAATTTCCATACGGCCCCAGTGAGAACCAGACGCCCCCCAGCTAGAGAGAGCGGACAGACTTCATGAACTGAGTTGTGGTACTTCCTAAGTGACCATGGAGAAGACATGAGACGGTGGGACAGGAAACCTACCCATGCCCTAGCAGCCCAAGTACAAGAGTTGAAAGAGAAAGAAAAGGGGAAGTCTGCGAAAGTGAGTGCCATACCAGTATCCTGCGGGCAGGGATTTGACCCACTAGAGGGCACCTCCCGTCGGTATTCACAAGAAGAAAACGGTGACTGGCAAGATGAAGACCAGTGTTAGAGGGGCCCTGCCTCTAGCCAGGTAGAGGCACGGGACAACCGTGTCTATTGGACCGTGTGGATCAGATGGCCTGCCATGTCAGACCCACAAAAATACCAGGCTTTGGTTGATACTGGCGCTCAGTGTACGTTAATGCCCTCGGGACATGTGGGACCAGAGACTATTTCCATTTCTGGGGCGACTGGAGGGTTTCAAGAGTTGACCATGGTGGAAGCTGAGCTGAGCTTGACCGGGAAAGACTGGCAGAAACACCCCATTGTGACTGGTCCAGATGCCCCATGTATCCTGGGCATTGAGTATCTCAAGAACGGGTACTTCAAGGACCCCAAGGGACATAGATGGGCTTTTGGAATAGCTGCTGGGGAGACAGAGGCTACTAAACAGTTGAACTCGTTGCCTGGTCTCTCGGAGAGCCCTTCGGTCGTAGGGTTGCTGAAAGTCAAGGAACAGCAAGTGCCAATCACCACCACAATAGTGCATCGCTGGCAGTACCGGACGAACCGAGACTCTGTGATCCCCATCCATAAGATGATTCGTGAGCTAGAGAGCCAAGGGGTGATCAGCAAGACCCATTCACCCTTCAACAGTCCCATCTGGCCTGTGCGTAAGTCTAATGGAGAATGGAGATTGACTGTGGACTATCATGGCCTGAATGAAACTACCCCACAGCTGAGTGCTGCTGTTCCAGACATGTTGGAGCTCCAGTATGAGCTGGAGTCCAAGACAGCGAAGTGGTATGCCACAATTGACATCACACCATTCCCTTAGCAGCAGAGTGTAGGCCACAGTTCGCTTTCACCTGGACGGGTGTGCAGTACACTTGGAACCAACTGCCCCAGGGGTGGAAACACAGTCCCACCATCTGCCACGGACTGATCCAGGCCACACTAGAGAAGGGTGAGGCTCCAGAACACCTGCAGTACCTTGATGATATCATTGTATGGGGGACACTACAGAGGAGATTTCTGAGAGAGGAAAGAAAATCATCCAGATTCTCCTGGGAGCTGGGTTTGCCATAAAGAAGAGTAAAGTCAAGGGACCTGCCTGAGAGATCCAGTTCCTGGAGGTGAAATGGCAAGATGGACATCGTCAGATCCCAACAGAAGTCATCAATAAGATCACAGCAATGGCCCCACCGACCAGCAAGAAGGAAATGCAAGCTTTTCTGGGTGCCATGGGTTTCTGGAGGATGCATATCCCGGAGTACAGTCAAATCGTAAGCCCTCTCTATCTGGTAACCCGCAAGAAGAATGATTTCCAGTGGGGCCCTGAACAGCAACAAGCTTTCGAACAGATTAAACAAGAGATTGCACACACTGTAGCCCACGGGCCAGTCAGGACGGGAACAGATGTGAGAAATGTACTCTTTTCTGCAGCTGGGAATAAAGGTCTCTCCTGGAGCCTCTGGCAAAAGGTGCCTGGTGAGACCCTAGGCCGCCCACTTGGGTTCTGGAGCCGAAGCTACAGAGGATCTGAAGCCGCCTACACCCCAACAGAGAAGGAGATCCTAGTGGCTTATGAAGGAGTACAAGCTTCCTCCGAGGTGATTGGCACAGAAGAACAGCTCCTCCTGGCACCTCGACTACCGGTGCTGAACTGGATGTTTAAGGGAAAGGCGCCCTCTACACATCATGCCACTGATGCCACATGGAGTAAGTGGATCGCTCTGCTCATGCATCGTGCCCGTATTGGAAATCTGAATCGCCCTGGGATCCTAGAATTCATCACAAACTGGCTGGAAGGTGAGAGTTTTGGTCTAGTGGATGAAGAAAAAGAAGAGCAGGTGGTACACAGACAGCGATTCAGTCTGTGTCTGCTGCTGTGTGTGGGTGTGTGTATGAGAAGGCTGGGGGGTGGCAGGGCCCTTTCTTTCCCCTCCGGGGGGAAGAGGGGCCCTGCAGCCCAAAGCCCTGCCTAAGCCAGGGTTGGAGGCAGCATTGGAGTGTCTGTGTTTGTGAGGGATGCGACTCACAAACAACTGGTAAGCGAGAGAGAGAGGCAGGCCTTGCGGCCAAGCCCTCTTCCCTCCCCCCTTTGCAGTTAGGCTGTAGAGGGGGGCTTTTTCTTTCCCTCCCACTGTGAGTGGAGGAGAGGCTCAGCATTGGAGCGGAGCCAAGTGGACGGGCTGAGTGCAACTCGGTGCCAGGGAGAAAAATCCCAGGCGAAATTGGAGACGGGACAAAGAGAGGCTCGGGGAGTGCCCTGCCAAGGTTTGACCGGGGGCATCTGAAAACTTGGAGGAGGAATCAACATTCCAGGACACGTATGTATAATAAGCTGACTGAACTACAGCAGCCTACAGAACCGAGGTATGATGAGAGAGATCACACAGCAGAAATGGCACAGAACCAAAGAGAAAGGACTCAGAACTATCTTGGACTTCATGAGTGAGAAAGAACTTCAGCAAACAGCTGGAGGTTGGGGGGGGGAGTGTTTCAGGTTCCCTGAACACTCCCACGAGAGAGAGACTGAAAAGCCTGAAAAGGCTTTTCCTGGACTAATTGAGGGAGAAGCTTTGAAGTGTAATATATACATATATGTATTGTTGCTTTTAGCTTGTACAGTATTTATTCTGTATTTATTGTGTAGAATAAATGTAAATATACTTCCCCCTTCCCCTATAGAAACTTCTTACCTGAAAGTTTTCTCTTTGGTGTTGAGACAAATTATGGGAAGGGGTGGGGGAAGCCTGAAAATTGGATTTTGGATTTCTCATGTGGCTCAAACTGCCACAATAAGAGATTTTTAAAGTTTTCTTTTCTTTATAAACCCTCTGTGAAGTACCAGAATGTGCTACTCAACTTGTTCTGAGAAGAGTGTCAGATCAAATGATCTTTAGAGATCCCTTTCAACCAATATATAGTTGTTATAATCATGCTATCAGGTGATTTATGTTCACCTGGTAGGGCAGCAAAATGAAATGAGCTTTCTTCTGCCCTGTTTATCAACTACAGTGGTATATGTGAACACTGTGCTGTTTAAATTTGACTATATAAATGTGACTATTGCTATTGATCCTCTAGCTAGGATGAAAGGGGATAGGAAAAATAACACAGAATTTGATATTGGATATAGGATATCAATTATCCACAAGTGTCAATCTGCCTTGCACAGAACCAATAAACTTCAATTTAATGCATGTCTGTAAAAGAGTAATTTCTCCTCCTGTGATACAAAGGCATAGAACTTAGATTATGAGAATGCTTTTGGCTCATTCATCTACTTGTACTTTTCACTTTGTCCCTTTTTTAACAAAAACCATACACACGAAGAGCAGGGCATAGGAAGTAGGGTGCAAATGAGTGTGCTTATGACTACCATTTCAGGAACAGATACATAACCCAGGGTCTTTGGTTAAGTCATCATTTCCAGACTTTTATTTTTTCTTGTGTTTACCACTAGTGAAAACCAGCAGAGATTCTATTCAATGTGTTAGATTAGCAAACAATGCCAGTTACAGCTTCAGCAATTACAGGAACTCCACCCCACTTCCATATTACAGAATAGGTGAAAAAATTAATTCTCAAAAGATTTAAGTTTAAAGCCTCATATTATTGAATTAATTTCTTTTATTCCTTTCAAGTAAGTATGAAAGCTTAGTGAGCTTATCTGATTTTAATATCTAATCATTAGACAGAGAGGAGGTGAACGAGGCTTTCAGATGCTGGCAGTAGGGATGAGAGGGAAAAAAGCAATACCTGTGTTTAATCTCTGCATACACATGCTATTAATATCAAGGACACCAAGAGTTAAAATGTACTCCATAATTATAAACGCAGGACAAAAATATCCATTTTAAAAATTCAGGTATATTTGAACAGTCATTTAGAATGACCTTGAATATCTAGGAGAAATGTGCACCAGTTAAAGACCTTGTACAAGACAGTCATCTGATTTTAAGGGTTAAGAATATTCTTCAGAAGTGCCAGCAACCAATATAGGTCTATGAGTTGAAATCATGTTCAGAGTTTCCTTATTTCTAGATTACTACTGTCTGTTTATACCCCCACTGTACATTTTCATCATCCCTATTCATGGCTGCTGGTCCATCTGAATGTGGATGGGGGTAATACTGTGGAAATCACGTTACATCTCTCTGCCCAAAAATAAAATGTTGTGAGGTCACCAAAAGAGCAGAAATCTGTACTGGCTGACTACAACTGGGCATTTACCTCTATGGGTGCTCACTGTAGTATCAGGTAAAACAACTATCCTGGTAAGAAATACTCACAGATTGTATCATAACCCAAGTCTCCAAAATTATTTAGATGATGGGACTTTAGATACATTCAAAATCTAGGATCACAGAAGGGTTTGGGTTGGAAGGTTCCCTGAAGACCACCCAGTTCCACCCCCTGCCATGGGCAGGGACACCTTCCACTAGCCCAGGTTGCTCCAAGCCTTGTCCAACCTGGACTTGGACACTCCCAGGGATGGGGCAGCCACAGCTTCTGTGGGCAGGGCCTCCCCCCCATCACAGGGAAGGATTTCTGAGAAACAGAGTTTCATGCTCGGTCTTTACAGGAACAAACAAGCAGTACATGCTCAAGGCCAAATTAAATATTTATTAATGAATTATAACAAAGTAATTAGCGTCAAATTAGCATATACTGGAGATTTGATTAATAGTTAATTGTCTTTACTCATCTGGGAGTCTGGTGTTTCTATATTCTCTGCCAAATTAAAAATACAAGAGGAAAGAATTGTAAATTGCATTGAGTGATACATAATTTTTAAACATCTCCATTAATTAAAGAAGACAGCAGAGCTACTATATGCTTACATATAAATAAAAATGTCTGCATTTTACTAGCAATCCCAAAAATTGTATCCTAATTTAAGACTCAGTCCTTCTATGCCATAGAGTATATTATTAGTTCTTTAGTGAATGTGATAACAGGGTCACACCCAGGATTCATCTCACTTGTCTTCTAGATTGCTAAAGCTAAGAATCTACACTAGGTAAACCCAAACATTGGTTTAATGGGAACAGGAGTTTAAATAACCAGTTTAGACTAGGTTTATTATCTGACACGGGGTTAAATAAAAACCTAAAATGCAAAAGCCACTCATGTCAACAGCTCATGGGCAAAGGTGGTATGAATTTAGAAAGTAAGAGTAAGATAACATGAATTTAGCAAATGAGAAATCCTCACACAATGCTAATAAACATGAGCCACAATTTGTACAACTCAGCAAGGACAACAATGAAAATATGAGCCTGGATTTGACAAACATCTGTAATCCAAAGGTCTAATTATCTGGGAATGCCCTAGACTTGAATTGAACTCTTTAATTCTAGAAAACTAGGAGTTGAGACTTTGAAAAGATCACATTTTACCCCCTGCTTCCTCTGCTTTGAATTCATCTAATGAAAATCTAGAGAAAGAAAATAGTTCACCTGAGCTTATGAGCTACAGACAACCAGTAACAAGAAAACAAGCAAAGCAGGATAATCACTGTCATTCTCTATTTTTTTTCAGGCAAAATGATGGACCATTTCTTCCCTTCTGTGGTACCAAAGAGGTCTTTTAGATTCAAAACATCTGCATAGTCAATGAACACCCTTGTCCTGCTCTCGAGCCAGAGTAATAAAAAAGATATATGCCAGTATTGCCTATACCATGCCATGTTATTTTTTAATATGCTTTTGGCAATTTTCAGTAAAGATAAGACCTGTTTCTCTGTATAACTCCAGCCCCCGGAGCTGCTGGCTCACAGGATTGGCTATGAGTTTTACTTTAATATATAAATATCGGGTTCTTTAATACCTCAAGATAGCATCAAGAGAATAAGTCACGGGCTTGTTCACAAGGAATTTCTTTATTAATTTAGGGGAGTAAATAAGAGGACTTGGCCAAAATTCAAAAGGACACCACACAAACTAGACAAAAATGTTCCACTACAATACTGATTTAACATATACTATTAATGCACAACACTTAAGGCAAAATCCAACCAATTCCACAACACTTAAATCAAGATTCAATTCCTCCAGCTCTAAGACACCCTAAGCATCAGGAAAGGAGCAGAGAAAGAGAAGCAGAGGGAGCAAGAAGAGAGAAGAAGAAAGAGGGAGAGACAGATCATATAGCTACCACCAAAGCCTTGTAGAAGACCAGCTCTCACACGTCCAGATGGCAGGGCTGCGACATGAGGCAAACATGTCCTTGGTTTTATTTGCTCCGGTTTCTGTGGCCAAGCCCTCCAGGTGAAGTTTCTGACCCAGCAGCCACCCTGGAGTTCCAGGCCAGGGTGAGGGTCAATGTTCTCACTGTCCTTGCCAATCTGAGGCTGGGTGAGGGGCTGCAGGAGGTGTGGTGTGTCATAGTTTTCCTGGGCTGTTTGTGACTGACAGCTACTCTGGGGCTCTCCTATATGGGCTCCTGGGGCCTGCCATGAGAGATACAACATCACCTCACCACCATAAGGTTTGACCCATCCCTTCCCCTTCCACACACACTCCCCACGAGGTGGTTCTGACCCAATAATAACTGATGGGGTGTTTAACAGTCCCTTCGAGATTTCATCATCTTCTTCTGTATCTTTTGATATTGCTGGATATACCAAAATATATGCAATAGATAATTTGTCAAAGCTGATGTTGTAAGTTCACATATATGTTCACTCAGTGTTTGTGGATAGATGAATGATTTTTGAGATATACTGTTGCAAGATCATTCAGGCAGTCGCCTCTTAGATCATTAGTGAACAGGTTAGTAACGAGAGCAAAAGACTGAACATTTTTTTTAGTCGATACATGTGTAACCATTCACATATGTAAATGTCATATCATATGTTTTCTTCCTCAAAAATATGTGTAAATCCAAACGACACCTTGTGTTTATCCAAATCACTGAAATAAATATCTAGATAAAGTATTTTTTCTGTGACTTCTGTTTCCACGTCAATAAGGTACCTGTTTTTTCGTTATGCAAATCTGCAAAAAATTCACTTACAGCAATATTGACCTACATACTCACCTTAGAAAAAGAAAACTTTGAACTTCATGTAGAAAAGTAAACTTTATGAAATATCAGCAATGATTTTAAAAGTATGAGATATATACTTTATCTGCCTTTATTAATATTAACATATTGTGAAGAAGTTCAAGCTTTGGTTGGACATTTACAAATAAGTGAAACACATTCTGCATGTCAGGAAAGGGAGCAAAAATATGTCCAGAATCAAATTCTATGGTATAAAAGCACTCAGAGAAAGCACTGCAGTGGAGAGGCCCTTGGCTAAAGACATCTGCCCAATTTACCTGGTCACTGTAGGCTGCCTGTATGGACAGTGGAGAGAGGCAACTTCCAGGGGTGATTCAACTCATTAACACTCTGAGGTGTTTATTGATTATGATACCTGTTGTTTTCAAGCATGCTTTCCCCCATCCAATTTTGCTAAAACAAACAGACCAGACCTTGATGAGAGTTCAGGTGCTGAAATCCCATATTTGGCCAGAGGGATATAGCTTCTCATTAGGAATGATGGGCATCTAAACCTTAGGAACATGAATCCATCAGCCCCATCCATGTCAAAAATCATAAATCATAGAACAGTTTGGGTTGGAAGGGACCTTTAGGCTCATCTCATACCATGCCCTGCCATGGGCAAGGACACCTTCTACTAGACCAGGTTGCTCCAAGCCCCGTCCAACCTGGCCCTGAACACTTCCAGGGATGGGGCAGCCACAGCTTCTCTGGACAACCTGTGCCAGGGCCTCCCCACCCTCACAGGGAACAATTTCTTCCTATATCCAGTCTAAACCTACTCTCTGTCAGTGTGAAGCCATTCCCCCTTGTCCTATCACTCCAGGCCCTTGTAAATAGTTTCTCTCCATCTTTTTTGTCAGCTTCCTTCAGGTACTGGAAGAAATGAAGGACTATTTAATTAGAGATTTAATTAGAATTTTAATAGAGAGCATTTATTAAAAAATGCTAAAGAGGGTTCCTTTTTTGGTGGTGTTTTTTGCTTTGTTTTGCTTTTAAGAAAATTTAAATGCTTCAAAATGTAGCAGCAGAGAGGAATAAGCTCTCAGAAACATATGGTTATAGGTGAGAGGTAATAAATATATTTTCCAAATTCTCTGGAGAAATAGCTATTTGAAATCAGATCTCCCTCAAGTGCACAGGTACTGCAACATGTTTAGCATCACTGAAAACTGGGACATTTATTCAAGTGCTTAATTCCAAGAAAACATTTGTATAGACCCTTGAGAAATACAAATGTTCAAAATATTTGAGTTTGGTCTCTTAATGGAAAATAGAATTTGGATAGAGGGGAAAAAAAAGAAATGTCATTCTCAGCATTTTTTGGAGCAGAAATTCTGCTGTATCAATGACCAGCTTAACAAAATTTAAATGTTTTAAATAAGGTCAGTGACATTTGAATGCGAATTTATGCTACATATTTTACAATCATCTTATGTTTCTGTGAACAAGAGAATGACAAAGCAACCAACTTCTGTCCCAGCTTTTCTCTGATCCAAATTAAATTTCCAAATAAGCATCAGATACAAAGAGGACAATTTTATAAACTTGAACTTTTAGGAACTCATCCCACTATTGCCATCTTGTGGATGATCCACAGTGTGATGCTGCTCGTTTGGCATCTCTTTCCTCCTGCCTTGGGAAGGAATGTTTCCTGATCCTCCAGATTGCCGTGGCAATCCATTAACTGGGAGTTATAAAGTTCTTTTAAGTCAAAAGAATGGACTTTATTAATTACAATTAACTAATTAAAGAAAATTAAACTTGTTTCAATAAATTATGTTATTTTCCAAGTTAGATATTGAACGCTACTAGTATTTTAGTATGTGAACTGAACTGTAAAAGACAGCAGCTGCGCCATAACAGTGGCTTTGATTACATTTGTATAGTTTCCTTTTTATTAGAGGACTGAATTTTGCTGAAGAAGAATGATCCATTGTTTAAGTCACAAGGCTTATTTGAATCATGTGACTAT